TACGGTAACACACCCCCGTCTGAAAGAAATCGTCGATTCTTAAGCAGCAAGATTTTTCCTACCGACATTGTCTTATAAACAGGGTCATTTAGGAGTAATTCATTCCAATATGCGTAGACCCGCGTCGTTGGATAGACTTTACGATTTTCCCGTATACACGTCTAAATGTAACCTGGCTACAGTAACACACCCCCGTCTAAAAGAAATCGTCGATTCTTAAGCAGCAAGATTTTTCCTACCGACATTGGTCTATAAACAGGGTCATTTAGGAGTAATTCATTTTAATTCATGATAGGGAGGATAGCGTATAGGACGTTAATTAGATCTCTTCTATAAGATTGCAATTTGAAGACGTGGTTTCTAAAATGATAAGACCGCCCGGTATCATGGGGTGGTGGTCATAGCATATATATATCAGAAGTTCTTCCTTCTACACGGGCCTTCGATAGCCCAGCGGTTACGCTCATCGCTCATACCACGTAGTTTCTCGGGTTCGAATCTCGCTCAGGAGAGATTTTTCGGTGTCTAAGACAGAGTCTGCCCGATAGCCTTACTGACGAATCCCCACGGGCAGACCCGGGACGAAACACAACAACAAATGGGTGCACACACAGCACCTCCACACCTGATCTCTATACTCAAAATGGAAATTAATATTTCGACGCTGGACGCTCGATATATCCCGGGCGTATTTATTTCCTTGACTTCTGGCTCTTTGAAATATCCATCATGTTACACGATATGTTTTCAACGGGATGCTCTCGAAGGGGATTCCTTCCTGTTACGTATTTTCATTTCCATTTTCCTGGTAACGTCCCTTTGCCGTGCCGGATTACGCGATCGATGCCGACCCGGTTAAACCGCGGAGTCATAAATCCGAATTCGAGGGGAGCTCCGTACCGCAGGAAGAGAGCAATGTACAAAGTGACACGATCCCCGGCCTCCGCGGTCATAAGCAACTTTGGGAAATAATCCGAGGAATTGATCGAATTTCTAAGCACCTACCGAATAGTTGCTCGAAATCGCTGTCGATCTCGGGGATCCGACCCTTTTCGTCGAGGTACGGTTTGAGGTCCCACGCTTTTCAACTATTCCCGAAGTATATCCCTCCATTTTTGCGAGATGTAATTTCCCGCGGAATGCCTCGGGGCTTGACATTCTCGTTTTACTGCCTCGTGTCAAAGCAAAGTACGTATCTGGTACATCTACGTAACAGGGTGGTATATTTGATATCACGCCCTTGTAATATGCTTTAATCCCACTGAGTGGAGGCACCGAGTCCCTTCCCTCTCGGATATTCCAATTCATTTTATTTTCCCTGCAACCCTTACGAGAAAGGAATCAGGGGTTGTTATCCACAACGGAGCCATGTGCTGGCAAACATAACAACAGTACCCATGTACATGACGGTGCTCGTCCGCATTCTTAAATCCAAGAGGAATCCTCAAACCAAGTACGACGCCATTTTCAAATTCTTATATCCTCGAGACCCTCGAAGGAAAAACAAATTTCACCGGGTCTCATTCTACCCAAAACGTTTTCCCAAATATAGGAATATCCAACACGAAGGTGAAATGAAATGTCTGGTTGCAAACTTCGGTTCCATCGTATTAAAAAACACATCGCTCGGTACAATACGCGTTCTGCACCGCGAAAGGATTTTGGCATCACAAAATATTAATGCATAGCTTCGGATTACGCGATCAACCGATCGAGTATCTCGGCGTTTTCAATATTTCCCGGGGAATTGTTAAAGTCGCGTATAATAAAAAAAAAATATTTATATACATATCTCCCTCATCGAACACCGTTATCGGCTCGCGTTAAATGGCAGATATTACAAACTATGTTAAAACTCGATGCGTATATTTTAGGTAGATAATGGACTTCTCAATGTTTCATTTCAACGTACAGGACGTTAGTAATCATTTGAACGGTGCAGAATAAAAGGATAACGTTTGAGATAAGGGCGTACCTCCGGTTTCGCCTTTACTCAAAAAATAACTATTAATGTGATAAACACAAGAAATATAATTTTTCGTTAAGTGAGTACTTTGATAGGGTGTGTGAAAGTGGATCATGAATGATATACCTAAATCTTGACTTTATCTTGAAAAAGATTCCTAACACATTCACGGTGTGAGTTCTACCGGCCGATTATGAATATCATTTTTCACTCCTGACTCTTTCGCGTTTGTAGGCGATGAATGAATACTTTTTTAAGGGAGCACCTTTCTGCCGCCTATCAGCGGATATAATCGTTATCGCTTATCAGATTTCTCCGCTAGGCAGGAGCTAAGTGTCTACCTTCTTTACATCGACCTACGTGTCCTCGTTTCGACAGCTGCCAGAAACTGCCGTCAATTGACAACAATGACAAAATTCCCCGTGCTCGATATTGTACGAATTTTCCCTCGATATTCTGGCGTCCAAAAAAAAAATAGTACATTCAAGATAATGCTTCTTTACAGTTACACGGGGACTAAGATCACCAGAAAACGGAAATGCGCGATACGCGGTGATAACGGCCACTGCCAAAAACTGCAACATTTGACAATGGCCAGATTTGCAATGCTGGATATTATAGAAATTTTCCGTCGACATTCTGGCGTCCAAAAAAAAATAGTACATTCAAGATAATGTTTCCTTACAATTGCACGGGAAATAAAATCACCCGAAAACGGAAATGCGCGATACGCGGTGATAACGGCCTCTGCCAAAAACTGCAACATTTGACAATGGCCAGATTTGCAGTGCTAGCTATTATAGGAATTTTCGGTTGACATTCAGACGTCCAAAAAAAATAGTACATCCAAGATAATGCTTCTTTCTCGTTGCGATAATACGTTACGGAAATAAGATCACCCCAGGCGAAAATGCACGATGCGCAGGGATAACGGTTACCGTGCACGTCACCTGTTCCTCGGTAGCGGACCGGAGTACGCCTAACGGCGTTACACGAGTTTCGAGAATGCGCCCTTATTCCAAAGATATTACCGTCTACTCTAGAGAGAGTTAAAGCCATCCGCGGCGACCCAGTCCACGACGGTTAAATTCGTATCAGGTGAGATTCGTCACGCGGTCAATGACGTATCCGCCCCACCGGGACCGGCTCGTCGGGTGTATATATAAAAAAAGAAAAATAGCCAGAAGAAACGCAAGACCTCCGTTAACGCGTTCGCCGCGAAACCCGCCATCGGCGGAACGATTTAATTTCCTCGGCGCAGCGAGCGCGTTAACCGCGTGAAAGGTGAATTCGGCGGCTCAAGGTGAGTCCGTCGCGTCCTCGGCGGGCTCGGGGAGAGCCAAGGGCGGGCCCAAGATCAAGGGGAGCCCCTCCGTCGCCGAGGAGTCTAGGAAGCAGGGCCCGGAAGGAGCGCGGCTGGCTTCCGGCCAAGCGCGTGACCGCAGCCTCGAGCCGGCAGGGTCGGCCAATGGGAGGGACCGAAAACAATCGGAGCCCCCACCCGCGGGGCGCGCGTGTCGGCCGGCTCGCGCGTTACTCACTTGCCGATAACCTCGCAGAGCTCGTAAACATCGTCGAAGAGCACCTCGTCCTCCGCCATGGCGATGGCGGCGGCGGCGGCGGCGGCAGCGGCGGCGGCGGTCGTGGCGGCGCGCGGGTCCGGTCTCGGAGCGCAAGTCCCGGGGCGGCCCCGAGGCGTCTCGGGCGACGGCTCGCGGCGTGGTGGCAGCCGCGGTGCGGCCCGGCCGGCGGCTGATCCGCCCCCGCCCGCGCGGCGGCCCTGGCAGCGAGCGGCCACGCTCGAAGCGAGAGAGAGCACCGCGTGTCACTCGGAGCGTCGCCACCTAACCTCTCGAGGCGGCTGGCGCCGTTGTCCCCGCCTGAGCCGCGGCCGGCCACCCTGGCGGACCCGGGAGTCGAGGCCGAGGCGAGGACGCGCGCTCGTACGTCGGACCGAGCGCGCGCGCGCGCACACAGAGCCCACGGAGACGCGCACTCGGCTGCTTCCGCGGATCTGGCACCTCCGTCCTTCGTCGCGAGGCGCGCGCCGCGCTCCTGTCAACGGCCGGGGAGCAGACTCGCTCGCTCCGAGGCAAGACTGGTTGCGTGGAACGAGGCGGCTGCGCGACCCGACCGCGACTCCGCCACCCCCGGCGCCGGCCACGCCTCGCGGGCCAGCGCCACCCTGCGCCACCCTCCGCCACCCCGGCCGAGCCGAGACTTACCGACCCCCGGCTCGACTTTCGTGATAAGAAGGCAGGAATTCCCCTCCGAATCGGTAACCCCGCATCGGGGGTCGTTCACCCGAGTGACTCTTCGGCGCGACCACGAGTAACTTACTTTTTTACCTCTCATGGTGAATCACCGAAAGCACGCCATTTGGGGGATCGTCCGCGTTTACTCGAAGCACTGGATCGGACGTGCGCTTTTTAACCACGGGAAATATTGCCGAGAACGAGTATTCGTTTTTGTTGCAACTTTTGAATCCGAGATGCGAGTCAACTTTGACGAATTGACCGCTTCTGTCGCCCTGTCGATGTGGTTCGTGTATGCTGGGTACGGGTACACTTTTCTTTTTGCAAGGTCAATGCCAAGTATCTCGTTAACCCTTTAATTACGAAACAGCACTATAACGGCTTCCGCGAGACCGACGTTTTTTTACGAAGCGCCACTATAGTGGCCCCTTTTATTCTCGTGTATTCAAGGGGACTAATAAATATCGTATTCATATACAATTTTAGCACTCCACGGTCGAGCTCTCCGTACAGGTTCGCGGCCGACTTCGCCGTAGTTAAAGGGTCAAGAAAAGAGGAAACGCAATAACGGGAGTCGCGGTACTTCGTAAGACTCGCTGTTATCGAGGTTTTTTAATAGTTACGTGCCCGCGGTGGTTGCGACCTCGCCTGAAAACGTTCCTCTGTCCAGGGAAATGACCTGATTTTAAAATCGATGCGCCGTATCTTGGAAAACGGGAGATACAAAAACTGACATTTATTTTTAGATTGTAAGTAGGGTTTACACCCTAGACGCCTACCTTGTCGACCTCCCAACGGATATAGCGCTTCTAAGTACCTGCTCGCTTACGAGGGCCGACCTCTGCTTACGCTCCCTGCTAAGTATACCTTGGTAGTAAAACATGCTGCCAGCTGTGACAAAGGTCCTCCTGTCATAAATTGACATTGCACCTAGAACGTTTCGGCTCAAAAGAGATGACCATGGAAACGGTCGCTTCTCTTGCAGTCCTCCTACGTTCCGTTTTATCTTGCAACGTAGGAATGAATGGAATTAAAATGAGTAGTCGTTTTAATAGAGTAACGTAGTATGAATCAAGTACTCGTAATCGATACTATTAAAACTATAAAATTGATACAGAATGCGGAATCGACGTTCGATATGAAATTTAATGACAGGATAGATGCTATAGGACATGGATAAAACTAAAGATCTAAAAAAGTGCTGGGTTTAATGCACGCTATTTCAAATATCTTGATCATTGACTAAGAGTATTAATTCTGGTGGTTGAAAATATCATAAATAAAAACTTGAGAAATGTTACCGCAAGAGGGGGAGCCCGTCAAATATTTCTTCGAGATTGTCTTCTCTGCCAAATATAGTCAATACCAAAATCACTCTCCCCTTACCCCAGGTTTTGTAGTAAGAATGGGAATCAAGAGCAGAATATTTTACTTCTTTCTCGAGAAACTTCAAATGGTTATGATCGTACCCACTAAATACGAGTATCCTTTGCCTAGTGAGAGACGTTACGTGCACATAGTAATCGATATAAGAGTAAAACTTGTATCCAAGGCATTATTCAAGGATTATAAATTAGTAAAATACCTTCCATCTTACCCATTAGATGTCCACGTGTCAAGATATTGACCCTTTACGTCGTCCAATTCCAGTTTCATGTATAAGGACATAAACCCAATGCAAATCTAGATGTAAGCATAGTACGAATCAAAATTCATTTCCGGACAAATATCAATAGTGCCAATGGTTAATGACTTTGGAACAATGTTAAGATGTACCGCTGCTGCTGCAGTTCCTTGGTCCATTCTAAAGCTAGTGTTCAAGACGCAATAAAATGAAACATCTGAAAAATCATCATATCCTATTGGCATTGGATTCCACTCAAGCTTATTTTTTTTAGGCTTTTTCTTTTTTCTTTTCGCTTTAATTTTCTGATTTCTAAAAAGTTCAGAAATTAGCACCACCATTTCAGATTATAAATACTTAAGAATAAAAGATTCAATGCAAACGTCATATCAGACCTGCGATTGAGTTTGTGCGAATTTTTCCCTGCTGTTTTTCTTTTTCGACATCGCTGCGACTTTCTGTGTTGATCGTACCACATTATTGAATTATAATAATTCCAAAATCTTAATGCTTCTCTGTATCTAACAAATTATAGAAAGCTTTGACTCTTTTCTGAAGTCATGATCCATTTAGTAGACAGCCTGTTAGAATAGGTTATATAAATCATATCACTCTAGGCATGCAACTTAAACCGAACCATGAAGAATACATCACACGTCGTTTCATTATTTAAAATCCTGCGCTGTTCCTTCACATGATCACAATAACAAGTACATTTGCTATCTGACAAACTCTATTCCTTTGAGGTTTCCTGTTTAAATAGATATAGATATGAAAAGCATTACGAAAGATCAGTATAAGTTGTCTTCAAGCAGTTGTATTATTTCATTACCTGAAATATTGTCGAGCATATTTCTCCACCTACAATTTTTGTTATAATTCGAAAAAGTTTACAAAAAACTTATAATAAACAAACAAGCAGAATTTCGTCGCTGAATTATGACCATGGGGGCAGCACAGAACACGATCGCGCAACCCTGTCCATGAGCAATCTCTCAACTCGTCTCTGGTTATGACATGACTAGAAGCTTATTTCTAATGGATAATGTGGAACCACTTTCATTGTAGTTCCCACTCCATCTTCGAGTAGCGTTACTTGTCTTGTCTGATCGGGATAAGTTCACGTAGCGCCACTTTATAGAAACTATATTAGTTTATTGCTTTTCCAGATAACTGTTCGAAGACATTTTCAACAATGGATCAATCTTTAGTGTACCTAGTTTATGGACGTCTGGGTTCTTCTACTTGGATTGCGCGCACGCCGTAGTGTTTAACTGGAAATAATTTGTTCCCGAGTGTCAGTTCTGCGAAATACTTTCTAAAATGGTATGCACTTCAACATTTTAATATACTTTAACAACCTTCTTCTTCTGGCATTAACCATTTAATAAATACGGCAACTTATCGTCGCACGTTCGTACCTTACTTTCCTAACCTATTGTTGGGAGAGTCATCCCAGGAAACCGGTTTTATAGTACTTTAATCAAAATTATTATAAAGGAACCTCCTAAACTAATGAATATTACTCTAAGTTATATATGTTGACCGTACACATAAAACAATACGCTTCTGTATGTGTTTTTAAAAGCCAGGTTTTACTCCTGATCTTAACCTTATAAGGATATACCAAGAAGCAATGTGTCTCGTTCACGTAACGTTGGTTTAATAATCTTTATGTACCTTTTTGTTTTCCTAAAATATAAACTAGTCAAAATCAAGTTTGAAATGGTGTGTAAATTGAGTTAAGAAGGGTATAATATTGCTAAATTAAAAAAAAAATTATTTTGAAAGCCTTGGTAGATTTCTAATTACTAGGTTTGAACTTGTTTATGTAAATATGTGTAACCATTAATTATTTTACATATGGTATGTATTCATTTCATTTGTTCCTATAAAAACATTTGAATAGCTGCATGATAACCATACTCTTGTGTGCCACTAAGAGACTTATTAAAAATGGGACGTCACATGAGGGTAAATGATAATACTTTTTATAGAATAGTTACTTTCCTATTTATGACTCTGAATAATTACTGTTAGTAAGAATTAATGTTGATCAAATTATATTTTCAGCAACCCCAAATAATCCTTTTAAAAGAGGGAACAGATGCATCCCAAGGAAAGCCTCAGCTTATTTCCAATATAAATGCATGTCAAATGGTAGTTGATGCCGTAAGAACAACGTTGGGTCCTCGTGGCATGGACAAACTCATAGTCGATCAGCATGGAAAAGGAACGATTTCTAATGATGGTGCCACCATTTTGAAGTTACTGGACATTATTCATCCAGCTGCAAAAACTTTAGTCGACATCGCTAAATCGCAGGATGCTGAGGTGAGGAGAATATACTTCTTAAATACCATCATTATATCATTATAAATCAGGAATATAGAATTTCCTCTGCAAATTTGTCCTATGTCAGAGATTATATAGGATTTTATATCTCTGACAGAATTGTGGAGGATATAGTAATAATAATGAATGTATAGACTAGCAGTTTTTCTCAGTTTAAAAATTGCTTCATTGGGGTTCATACAATCATTGGTCTTATTAAGAGGAATTATATATTTGTCATGTTTGAAGAGGCAATGGTATATCAATATTTCATATTTAACATGTGTTTCAAAGGTTGGCGATGGCACTACCAGTGTTGTACTGCTTGCTGGTGAATTCCTTAAACAAATGAAACCATTCATTGAAGAAGGAGTACACCCACGCATCATAATTAAGGCTTTCCGACGTGCTGTTCAATTAGCCGTGGAGAAAATTCAATCATTAAGTGTCAAAATTGAAAAATCAAATATCCAGGAGCAAAGAGGTCTTTTGGAAAAATGTGCGGCAACTGCTATGAGTTCTAAACTCATTCATCAACAAAAGGACTTTTTTAGCAAGATGGTCGTTGATGCTGTGTTACTGCTTGATGATTTACTGCCACTTAACATGATAGGTATAAAGAAGGTGTGTAGTATATTTATTTATATTCTTTATGCAAAGTAACAATATAGCCTTGCTCCTAATTTTTTTTGTAATGGCATTTTAATCATTGAAATAGATGTGTAACAGTGCACATGTTTGAAAACATTTTGTATTTCAGGTTTCAGGTGGAGCTCTTGAAGAATCACTGCTAGTTGCTGGTGTAGCATTTAAGAAAACCTTTTCGTATGCTGGTTTTGAAATGCAACCAAAGAAGTATTCACCATGTAAAATTGCACTATTAAACATTGAGTTGGAACTTAAAGCTGAACGAGATAATGCAGAAGTACGCGTTGACAGTGTTTCTGAATATCAAAAGATTGTAGATGCAGAATGGCAAATTCTGTATCAAAAACTTGAGAAAATTCACAAAAGTGGAGCAAATGTTGTTCTTTCAAAATTACCAATCGGTGATGTCGCAACCCAGTACTTTGCTGATCGGGACATGTTCTGTGCTGGCAGAGTACCTGATGAAGACTTGAAAAGAACAATGAAAGCTTGCGGAGGTGCAGTTATAACAACTGTTTTCGATATCTCTGACGCTGTTCTTGGAAAATGTGAATCATTCGAAGAGAAACAGATTGGAGGGGAAAGGTAGTACAATTGTTCCTAATTATAGCTTTAATCTGTTATACTCATTTGTTATCGTTATTATTAAATATTTATTATAACTCAGGTTCAATTTCTTTGCTGGTTGTCCAAGTGCAAAAACTTGTACTTTCGTATTGCGCGGAGGTGCAGAGCAGTTCTTAGAAGAGACCGAACGATCTTTGCATGATGCAATCATGATTGTACGACGTATGATTAAGAACGATGCTGTGGTTGCTGGAGGTGGAGCCATTGAAATGGAACTTTCACGAACTCTGCGAGATTATTCTCGTACAATTGCAGGAAAAGAGCAACTTTTAATTGGAGCTATTGCTCGAGCTCTTGAAGTCATACCCAGGTAATTTCAGTTTTTTCCAATTCTATACAGAACCCTATCCTTCTATTCTATTCAGATTCTGTCCCAATTCTATCCCAATTCTATACAGAACTTCTATACAGAAGATGGGTTCATTAGATTTGGATTCATTAGAATTGGAATTTCTCAATTACTGATGGTTGTTTCTCTTATTTTGCAGACAACTGTGTGATAACGCTGGGTTTGATGCAACAAACATCCTTAATAAATTACGACAGAAACACCACCAAGATAAATGCTGGTATGGGGTTGACATTAGCACTGAAGATATAGCTGATAACATGGAGGCATGTGTCTGGGAGCCAGCAGTTGTTAAAATTAACGCTTTAACTGCAGCGTCCGAAGCAGCTTGTCTTATTTTATCTGTTGACGAGACAATTAAGAATCCTAAGAGCAGCAATGGAGATGTACCTCAGCAAGGTCGTGGAGTTGGCAGACCTATGTAATTGAGCACGAATCTAAATGGATCTGGCCGGATCAAAATGAATGCTTAAATTGTGCTTCATGTAATGCATTCACTGTTCCGTTATTTAAAATAGATCCCACGCCTCTAATGTTTTACAGCAAATGTTTTCTTTTCTTGCAAAACCACGAGAACGCGTTCATCTTTTTACATAGTTATGGTATTAAGAAAGATTTCAAATGAACTTTTCTACTTGAAATTCCAATATAATTAATGAAACTATATCCATTAATATTAATCACAGCATTTGTAATGTTAAGCTTCCCATCCTGCATATAGAAACACATATTATACCTCTATTTGTATGGAATTAATAAATATTCGCTTAAAAAGTTTCAAATTTAATAAAAATCTTAAACTTATAAGTGATGCTCATTGTATTAGACAAACCATTAATCAGACCCAAAAGAATTCTTTTAAAACTAACTAGCTGGTATTATTTCAAATAATTGCAAGCTGCACATTCGTTGTTTTCAATAAATCAAAAACAAAAGTAATCGGAAAAATATTTGCTCATCTGGGATGCAGTGTAAGTCAATATACAAAATAAATTTGTAAACAGCATGGCTGTAAACATCTCTTAAAATACATTTTTAGAAATTTAATAACTTTGGGCAGCATCTACACATTTCAGTCATGATAATCGTAATCCTGACTGATCCCGGTTAACATCGAAGTAGTGTCGTCGTGGATTCTTACTCCCGACATTTTAGATACAGTATTTCTGTTAAATAAATTGAAATGTTTACCACGCGTCTGTTTCGATATCACGCACTCTATGTGCCGATACAGTCATTTGTACTTTTCAGGTAAGTGAATTAATAAGTAAACTTTGATCAGCGTTGTTCGGCAAGTGATACATAGGTTAAGGCATCTATGATTGGTGCAACTGTGATTAAATTGTTGACATATCTTGGATTTAATATATTTCTTTGAAGTTCAATCGATACGCATACAAAAGTATAGTGAATTGCACGTTAATACCGCGAACTCGTTAAAACAATTATTGTTTGAGTATACAGCGGGAAATAGTTTAAATGTTGATGGAAAGGCAAGAGCAGAATTGATGGGAATAGTGACACAGCCAATCTAACCTAACCTAACCTAACGATAGCACACGCAGAGACGCCATAATGACGACACGGTAACATTCATTGTGTTTGCCACGTTACATGTCCTTTCAAGTTTAATTTAATGGACTGTAAAGCACATATTATATTCGCAGACTGAACATAACGTGAGACAATTGACAGAACACTTGTCCGGAACAGTGCGGTGCTCGTAAGAGTGACAGCTTTTTGCGAGCACATTTCAATTCGAGTATTAACAATTTTTAATAGTACATGTGTTATCATAGTTCTAAGGAAATTTATAGTAAATAAGCCACGTGTCGAATGCGATAACGACATTTCTCTGCCAAAATATAGAAATTTCATCGACCACAACATCCACAGTCAAGTAAGACTTGACTGGTAACAAGTATAATCAATTACTTTAATACTGTTTCCCTCTAAATTAATCGTTAGTTCCGAGATTCTGTTGTTTGCCTGAAAATATTAGTGTATGATATTGATATCTTGATATAACATTATAAATACTGGTTTCCGTTTACTACTTTTTACTTGGTTTATTTCATTTTTATAACAGTAATATAATTAATCAATATTTGCATTCATTTAGAAACAACTTTGAAGTCATGGCGTCTCAACAAAGTCAATCCCATGGTCACACATCTGCTCGCTTTGATAACATCGTAAAGTCACCTAATGATACCAGAACATATCGGGGTTTGATATTAAATAACAAGATGAAAGTATTACTCATCAGTGATTCAAAAACTGACAAAAGTGCTGCGGCTCTTAATGTTAATATTGGTTAGTATTATTAGAAGTTGGTTAGAACCATTATTAAATTTTATATATATTTAATCTTATAATACCGATAAAAACTATTTAAAGTAAAAAAATGTGATATATTTATGACTATAAAGCATAACTTCTTTGTGATTTATTGAAGGATACTTGAGCGATCCACCAAATCTGCCAGGACTTGCACACTTTTGTGAACATATGCTTTTTTTGGGAACAAAGAAGTATCCTGAAGAAAATGAGTACTCTGCTTATTTATCACAAAACGGTGGTCACAGTAATGCTGTAACAGATGCTGATCATGCTACTTATGAATTTGATGTTAGTCCGGACAAACTGCAGGAAGCCTTAGATCGATTTTCTCAGTTTTTTATAGAACCCCTCTTCTCAGAAGCAATGACAGAGCGTGAAATGTGCGCTATTAATTCTGAACACGAAAAAAATATCTCCAATGATATATGGAGATTAGATCAACTTGAAAAGTCAACAGCTAAGACAGGCCATGTTTATTCTAAATTTGGTACGGGTAATCGGGAAACATTGTCAATTATACCTCAACAACAAGGTGTAGATGTCCGGAAAGAATTATTCAACTTTTATGAAACCTGGTACTCTGCCAATATTATGGCACTTAGTGTACTTGGTAAAGGTAAGTTGGAACATCAACAGTATTACTAGTTTTTGGAAATGCTTTTAACTCCATTTTACATGGTATATTATGTTTATTATCTTTTCAGAATCATTGGATGAATTAGAGACTATGGTATCAAATTTGTTTTCTAAAGTGAAGAACAAAGATGTGGAGGCACCCATATGGAAAGAACACCCTTTTGATGACAACAGCTTCCAATCTAAGTGGTACATGGTACCAGTAAAGAATATTCGAAAATTGAACATCTTCTTTCCTTTACCTTACTTGCACGAGTATTATAAATCATTAGTAAGGTTTATTAAATTTAACATTATCTGCAATATTATCAAGTGTAGATGACATTTTGTTATTATTTATTTTAGCCAGAAAATTATATTTCACATCTAATAGGACATGAAGGTAAAGGTTCTCTTCTATCTTGTTTGAAAGCAAAAGGCTGGTGTAATACATTAGCTGCTGGTAAACGATCGCCAGCTAAGGAAATCTATTTCTTTGGTGTCTATATTGATTTAACCGAAGAAGGAATGAATCATATTGATGACATTATTGCACTTATCTTTCAATATATCAACGTGATGAAACAAGAAGGGCCTCTCCAATGGATATTCAATGTAAGTAGTCTTCATTTTTTTTTTTTAAGAATATACTTGTACAAAGAAAATGCTTGCATCTGATACAAGGATGAATGCAATTTTTGATCTGCAGGAATTTAGAGATATTGCGGCGATGAATTTCCGATTTAAAGAGAAATTAAGTGCTCGCAGCTATGTTAATTCAACAGTATTGACCCTGCAACATTACCCGATAGAGGAAGTTCTGGTTGCTCAACGTCTTTTTTTCGAGTGGAGACCCGACCTCATTGATTGCTTAATGGAATCCTTAACTCCAGACAAAATCAGAGTCTACGTAATAGCTCAGCAATATGAAAATATTGCTATTGAAAGTGAATCATGGTATGGAACAAAATACACAAAAGAAAAAGTAACTACTGATATACTTAACAAATGGAAAAATGCTGGAATTAACAATGAGCTTCAATTGCCAGCCAAAAATGAATTTATACCAACAAAGTTTGATATAAAACCACATGATTCTGTGAGTTTCAACTTTGATTTTCACATACTAATTAACTCATAGCAGTATAGAATTATCTTTGACATTCAATTATTAGGTGGATAAATTTCCTGTTATCATAGAGGATACACCATTGTTTCGTGTATGGTTCAAACAGGATGACGAATTTCTCGTGCCGAAAGCTACCTTAACATTTAATTTTGTCAGGTAATAATATATCTAGTTTAACCCTTGTACTCTTTTTTTTTTTTTTTAATTACACTGTTCTATTACAGCCCTTTAGTATACATCGATCCACATAGCTACAATCATACTTACATGTTCGTCCAATTGCTTCGTGATTCACTCAATGAATACGCTTACAATGCGGAATTAGCAGGACTTAAATGGGAAATTACTCTTAATAGAAATGGATTCGCTGTACGTATAATGGATATCTTAATAATAACTTAATAACGTTCATATTAATTAAAAGCAAAAGGTGAAACAAGAAATAACGAAATATAATAAAAACTAATTACTATTTTAGTTTGGAGTTGGAGGTTATAATGACAAGCAGAATGTTCTGTTAGAAAAAATCATGAATATTATAACTCACTTGGAAATAGATCCAAAAAGATTCAACATTTTGAAAGAAAATGTAAGTACTTTAAGGAAGAATAAAACGCCTGCCTGTAAATAACTGTATTTTTATTTATTATCTTTATTACAGTACATCAGAGCACTGAAAAATTTCGAAGCAGAGCAACCATATCAGCACTCATTGTATTATATGATTTATTTATTAAATGGTCAAGCTTGGGGGAGAGAGAAATTATTGGATGCTTGTTCTCGTACGTATAATCACATACATTGCATTATAATAATTCTGCATTATTAGCTACAAGGCAAATTTTATTTGTAGAATTAACTGTTGAACGAACCGAGCAATTTATTTCACAATTTCTGGGTTATATTCATATTGAGTGCTTGTTACATGGTAACATAACGAAACGTGAAGCTCTAGAAGTTGTTAAACTTGTTGAAACGAAATTGACCAGTTCGGTATCTTTCATGAAGCCTGTGTTATCGGAACAATTGTTACCTTGGCGTGAAGTGAAATTAGATGACGGTGAGTACCAAGTTACATTTATGAAAGATATTGTATGTTTTACAGTGTTGTGTTTCATTGTTGCTTTCAACAGGATGCCACTTTCTATACGAGACTACAAATCATCTGCACAAATGCTCTTGTACACTAACATATTATCAAAGTGGTTTACAATCAACGAAATCAAATATGCTCTTAGAGCTTCTTGTACAGATTATAAAGGAACCTTGTTTCAATACTTTGCGAACGCAAGAGCAACTTGGGTACATTGTTTCTTGCAGTATTCAGAGGTCTAATGGTGTTCAGGGATTAAAGATAATAGTTCAAAGCGATAGTCACCCACAGTATGTGGAAGAAAGGATTGATGCATTTACAGAATCCATGCTAGTAAGTGAGAGAAAAAAAACTGATTTATTGTTAATTATTTGATGGTTTACGTTTCGCAATAACTGAATTTTCGTTATTATTTGTCTTATATGAAAACAACAAAGCAATTCCAGTTTTCTCTTCGAGATTTTACGATTAATCTCAAAATTTGTTATGTTTAGAAATATATAACTAACATGTCGGAGGAAGAATTTAATAAGCACAAGGAGTCACTAGCGACTATACGTCTAGAGAAACCCAAAATGATGAGCGTATTGTCCGCTATCTTTTGGTCGGAAATCTATACTCAGGAATACAATTTCGATAAAGCAAATATCGAAGTAGCGTACTTGCGGACGATAAGTCACGCGCAAATCGTCGAATTCATGAAGGTAAATAAGATGTTTTTCATGGGTTCAAAATGTCTTTAATACAAGGCTCTACTTTTTTTTTATATGTAAATAATCTTATGTTTATAATGATTTATATTACTCAAGGTCAATATGTTTTTAGGATGTTGTGTACGATAAATCTCCAATGAAACGTAAAATGTCGGTCCATGTAATATCTATGGCAGAAGGCGGTGCCGGATTGGCAAAGAAGCCCGAATCTGCCAGTAAACAGTCAAAGATCGAAGACATGGTAGCATTTAAAGCTAGCCAATCGTTCTATCCCCTACTGAAACCATTTAACAATATTCCTAGGAAAGGACGATCGAAGCTCTAAAATGCGTCTACCGTTAACTTATCCGTAGTCTTGAATGGAGTACGTAATTTTCGGAAATATATTTAAGTTTCGCCATTGTGACGAATGAAGTCAATAATTATATTTGCAATATTCATGTACTAAATCTACCATGAATAAGCTAAATATCGTCTTCAGGATATTGCATTATTCTATGACTTGACTCAAGTCATCTCATTCCAGGCGTTTTGGCACTTTAGAGAAATTGTTTTTAAAATTGCCACAATTTATTTCTGACTAGTAAAAGCGGTCAACTGTTATCGTTATAGTAGTGAAATGCAGACGATCGACATAACTGATTCTGCAAATCCAACCGTGTCATTTAATACAGATTGTGAAGATAATTGTTATATAATTAATGCACATTTCTGCGTATTGAGCAAGAATCATTAACGTAGAGTGTAACAATTGTAAATCTTACAGCATACAACATGTGCAGTCTGAAATGGATTGTACAGTCACAGTAATTATACAGCTTTTCATATGAATAAATACAATTTTTATACAAGCGAAAGTCTTTCAATGCCTTTTTACGTTTAAGAAAATTATGAAGAATCAACGTTACCTTCATAATACTCATTGAAATTGTCTATTTTATTTACAGTATCATCTCCTAGGGTAACACCTGCTGCCAGAACCATCTGTGACCTTACTATTAAATGATACGTGCTGTTCATCCGACAGTCATGCACGATTTAATTCCCACCCAGAGTATTTAATAGGACCAACTTATTAGACCATTGCATCTTCACATTACAATCTGCCCTTTAATGCGATTCGACGTAGAACCTTTCACTCGAGGCGCGAGCTCAAGACTTCAGACAAATGCCATTCCTTTGTTGCCGATCCTACGATTCACGTGCTACACGGTGTCGAGGGCGGGTTCAGAAATTGCTCCAGCCCATCGAACCAATTCCATGAATGCGTCGATAACTCCATAACCAAGGAGTGAGAAGAAAATCATTCCCAACTTTTTATCGACTCGAATATAAAAATGCCACGATCCTTATGGCCTAAGGATCAAACTCAAGATAACAGCGATAGTGGGGGAAGTAGGATTTCCTATCCTGTCGAGGCATATTTTCTAAGAAAATTGTATTTTTCAAACTCTTCAGGATATCCTCATGCGCACTGCGCGGTATTTACCGAGCTTAATTGCGGGACTATTTTTGCTAAGTGACGATCAGCCGATAGATCCTGATCATCGCTTTATACAAAATACCTGCTCCCTGAACTATAGAACACCTCGTCGGGGAAAACTAACTTTTCATTGGAAGTTCCGGGTCGCGTATTTCTGCGTATGCAAACACGCATGTAACAGTGCACGGTTACATACACACGGGAAACGGTCAGAGATCAGAACTAAGCATCGGGATGCAAATCGACCTGGAACAGATGAATAACGATCGGGACCGAATTTTCTCTCGGATGGAGGCTCGAAACGCGGCACTGAAAATAACAAAGCACTCCTTTTTTGGTCGGCGTCTCGACTGAAATAACGTGAAGTCATCAATCTTGATAGAAGTTGATTTATGAGTCATCGAGGCGTCATTGTCGAATTTTAATTAAATACCTACATTATAGGAATGTCGCGGGGAATGATTGCCGTTAACCAATTTTCTTTATAGCGTTTGTAATCTTCCGTTGGAACGTTGATAGAAGATATTCATTCGTGAATGACTTACATGACCAAATTTGACGTCGAGTCATTCATTTCAGCAGACCATTCAGACATTATTCGAAACTGGTTCCTCAAGGGGCAACGAACTCGAGCAAAAACGTATTTCAATCCCACGAAAAAGGGTATTCCCGGCTACTGTACGCGTCGACTGACTTTTCAATTAATGACACATTAATCCTACAAATGATTTACTATCGTAAAGTCGTACCTTCCCGATCGGGAAGTGGAAAATCTCGTGGATCTTGAAAATCATCAACACCTACCGCGGTAGTGTTGATCTTTTAAGCCCCGGATTTAATCGAATCATCCATTCCTTTTCTTTCCTCTGCACCTGCCGATATCTCTTAACGAAAAATCAGTAAGCCACACTTCTGGATATTTCTTATCACGTTACATCGAATTGTTAGGAAACGCGATGCGCACAATCCGCCTTTCCTCGACGCCATTTAACAATGCAATAACGATTGTCTATTTTGCACCATTCAGTTGTCGAATAAATTGGACACGTGTCAGGGTATTCCGATTTTACAAGCGTAATCGTTTGACGTTACGCCGATGTAAAAAAAATCGTGGGGCTATATTCCCTCGGAAAATCGGTGAAGACGATTTCCTTCTTTAAGAACCGATTGCCTATAATTTCATACGGTAAGCAACAATGCAATTCGGTAATAGGTGACAGTGGGCCTTAAAATTGTGGCGATATTTCGGCGAATTCCAAAGATTTTCAGTGATTTCTGCTAAGGATTTCAACGGGGTTTCATGTACTAAAATCCATGATTTCCTGAGTGAATACCCCCTCGAAAAGAAAAGAAAAAAAAAGAATACTTTACGGCTCACAATGGACTCAATGGATTGCCCAATTTATTTGTCGACAACCTTCTGTGAAGTCTTTCGCGCTCTTTTTCACAACTTCTCCTTCCCAGTACCTGTCGATATCTTTCCAGGGAAGAAAAGAAAACCGCATTGCCGGATATCTTTGATCATCTCGTGCATATTGCATCGAACGATTTTGAAATATAGTACAAGCGATAGTGCGAGGCACTGATGCTCCTAATCCATCGGCGATTTTTATCACCGCGAAGGACCCTGATAATGTGGAGCGTCACCGTATTTTCCAGCTAGAGATAGAAGATGCATTACGTTCCTTTGCGTTCCTTTCATGTGTGCGCGTGTCGGCAAAGATCCAACACACGCACGCACGCAGGAAAGTCTTGTGCGTGTGCGGACGGTCTTGCTATACTCGAATACTCGTCCGCTATAAAATAAGAAGTCCATCGATTCGAACAATCACATGCTTCGGAGTATTTGCCGAGTGAACATCGCGGGGAAAAAGGTTTGTAAACTCGAAATCCCGTTCATTCATGGTTCATTCGTTAAAACGGAGACATTTAATACAAAACAGTGAACAGTGCGAAATTGGTGTACCGGACGTCCCAAATTCTACGCCTTTGCGGAGAAATTTACGTGCCTCAATAGGACCTCTTAATTGATACGTACGTAATCATTCATCGTCGATAATGCATTTTCTACCGTCCAACTCGCAAAAGGGGAAAAATTGAACGAAATGCGGTTAATATTACCAGGATATTTCTGAATTACTCTAATTAATGTGCATTGGTAGGACCTCTCATTTATCGGGTATACGATAATTAACACCGGAGCGATAATGAATTTCCTACGGATAATACGTTGGAGGAGGTAAATATTATTTGTATATTTCTAAAATATTTCAAATTTAAATGAATCTCTATTATTAGTACGCGTTTAACAAGTCGTCCCTGATTGCAGTGGCTTGTGCACTCAGGGACACTTTTTGAATCCATTACACCTACGAGAGGAAATTTGATTTGCAATGGGAATATGTCTCCTGGCTTAGATTACTTTTTAACATTATTTCGGCGCAATAATCCGCAACCTTATTTAGCAGGATTAGGTATGACTTATTAAAGTAGAAGGAATATTATCCCGATAGTCAGGTCAGTTATAAAGAAAACAGGTAAGTAGCAATTATGTAAGGAATTTAAATGAATTAATCGACAGCCCGACCACTCCGAGATAGACAAATCAGTTCCCGGAATTCTAGATTCTATTTGCAGTCGATCATCATTTTCCAAATGACTTCTGATTAAGAGAAGGCAGGTGAAACATCCTCAGGGCTGACGAGTAAAGAAAACCTCGGAAGGACAAAAACCGAGTAAAGGACTGCTCATTACGCCTTGCGTAATCTTCCTATTATAATCTCTCATATTTGCGAGACGCGTTAATATCGCGATTGTCTTTGCCGAGTTCGTCTTCACTTGGGTAGTAAAACGATTTGTACAGTTCCCGATGGGCCGTGCATGATTTCCACTGCCTACTTTGACAAGACAAAAGCCATTTACATTGCACGTCCGAGATGTAGGCAAGTGTGGTAAGATAGGTGCATACTACGGATTTTCTTAGAAACGCACTGGCAACTTCCCTAAAAAGGTGATCCTCGGTGCGACGCGTTAATCGTAGCCAATGACTAAGCAAGAGATTCCCACGAATTTTTATAATTGACAGGACACGCTTATGGCGAAATTGTCTGGAAACATTCGTCCGGTTAATCTCCCAACCAGGAAACAATCACCAGAAAATCATCTACGGTTTTACAAATCGCTTCCGTCTTTGCATATCACTCGAAAATAAGAATTCAGTCCTGTCAAAAGTGACATGTCAAGATGCATACTGACGAAATCTCTCCGGAGATGATCATATTTGGGAGATTCCGCTCTTGCTCGGGGGATTCTCGCTTACGCAAGAGCCTTCCATTTAGGAGGAAACTCTGCTTCGTTGTTATATACGGAAATGCATTACGGAGATGCAACTGCGTCGTTGTGAAGCCGCGATATTAATTCAATGTCGGGTGGATTCGGTATTTCCCGGTACACCGATTTCAACTGGTGAAATCTCGTGGCCATTAATAATTTCTAAAAAATTATGGGATTTCGATGACATTGGTTAATAACGAAAAAGTAGTCATCCGCGTATTAAAAGGAAAAAGAGATCGATGGGTTTGCTCCTTTCCGGAGATTCTTCGCGGTCGGTCGTACAATTTTCCTGCAAAAAAAAAATTCTCATCGATCCCTTGGATGTCTATTTCGAATTCGTTCTTCATGTCTGTTACCAGAAAATGAAAATAAAGCAAAGAGGTAACGTCGTTTAGAAGGCCAAGTGCGTGGACGATCTGAACGATCTCCACGCTCGGCGGATCCCGGATGCGGCCGTGAGTTATGCAACGAAAGGGCGTGAAATTGGGATGACACGAGTCCGGCCAATTAATCGTAAATTCCCAGGCTCTCGGCGTAAATCGTCACGGGGCTTTCTTTCGTTTCAGGGTTGAGCCGATTCGTTCCGGAAGCATGACGCAGAAACTGATCCTTGCGATGATCCTCGCAATAGCTGGGATGAGCGGCCCGATCATCGCAGGTGTCGCAAGCAACAGGCCATCTCACGTCCAATGCGTGAGCAACTCGGAATGCTTGCGAGGAAGCTGTTGCACCATTGGTAAATTCTCCCAGTCCATTAAAACGCCCAAAAATATCGATAACACCTTCCCAACTTCGCTAACTCAAGGGCCTCCCGAAATAGGAAACGTCGCGTCACAGCTGGAATTTTTTATACCAATTAATAAAATGACCAAGTCATTTTGAGTTACCAGTTTGCCCAGAAAGTTGGGATTTTTGCTCCTTATAATATTTTACGCCGTTTTTCAAATTAAATTATATATCTTTCCTTCGTGTCCATGCCATGTACCGATATAGACTTTGTCACGATATCGTATGACGTTGGCGATATTTTATCAAGTGTTGGCAGAGTCTTCGCAAATTTTTCTTTTTAAACTTACATCCGTAAAGAACAACCGGCATTCGTATAAATAAAGCTCCTAGGAACGGTATAGGCTGTTAGCTCCACACCAAGGAACTGTACAAAAATCAGGTGTTCAAACTGGTATGGAAATGCCGATGTAATCCCGCTATTTTCCGGTTTCGGGCTGACACATGAAATAAAGATCGAATAATACAACGTGGGTAGAAGATTAACTGCCAATTTCCATAACGGTTTCACATAGCCACTGCACGGATATACCGATTTAAGTGATACGGATAGGTAAAGAGACGTAAAGAAATCAATGAGGAAAATTGAACCCCTGGAAAAGTACTAGCGCGATTAGGCCGGGTTCGGGTACCGGTCTGGAAATAACGTCACGGGGAATAAAATGAATAAAGCCAGCCGCTATAACAAGAATTTCGTTATCCTTGCGCCGATTTTAAATAAACCTTAAGAAATTGTAGGAATGCCGTCATTGCTGAACGACTCTACGCGGGGAGTGCTAAACTGGATCCAGCGATCATGGGATATAATTTAAAAAATGAAACAATAGATTATCTTCATTGATCGAATGTTCACATATTCTAGATTGTTAATGGCTTTTTTCTTATGCCTTTTTCAGCGCCCTATAAATTCAGCGTGCCCCAGTGCCAATCGATGCAGGAAGAAGGAGCGCAATGTAGACCAATGGGACACGAGACCATCAACACAACCCTAACTTATCCAGATGGTTCGGAATTGGAATTGAAGGGAGTGCATTACATCCTCTGCCCCTGCGACTACGGATTAACCTGCGACCCTAAGGACGGGATTTGCAGGGACGTCAGCCAAAGGAGGGACTTCAATCACCTGCAAAACGAGGCTATCGCGCACGAAGATTAATAGTCAATATTCGTGTAGCATGATTAACATGTCGGCAAGCTTCTCTATTTCTATACATCTGACAGGAACGGATAGAACTGTACCTCGGAACTGAGCGCGTTTACTCCCTCTCCGAGAAACCTCCGAATTTCCCAATTCCGGAATTTTAGAAATTTCAACCGCACGGAACTGTTCGGCATTTCCAAAGCTCTCGAATTATCCGAAATCTGATCGAAGTGATCAATGATCTTTGATAGGCCGTTTATAACGGTCTGTTCGTGAAATGCTGGGCAAACAGAAAGTTAGGATTGGTAATTGAGCAGGACGATAATAGTCGTTGAGAAATGAAAGATGAAAATAATGCGAGCTATTATCGGCTTCAAAGGGGTCCGACAAATTTTATGAAGTGCGATCACTACTTTCGGTACTCTCGAGTTTGTCAGGAAAAATGATGCGACACCTCTTCGTGCTTTTTAAAGGCATTTGGGTAATCGAGTACGTGTGTACGAGATGTATGACAAATTTGACATATGCATTTAACACGTGCACCCGTGTAATGTGTTAGTTTCCTTGTACTCGGTGCAGATTGATCACGAGCCAATAAATAGTATCAGCTCAGTTCCTTTCGGTTCATAGATAAGAGTAAAATGCCTAATTACATTTAAGAGCGTAAAGATAAAAGGCTTGATAAAACGTTTATAATTACGGACAGCTGAACGGTACCAAATAAATGTAGTCTAGGTCTATGTCTCTAAGTATGTACATCTGTAGCAGTATAGTAAGAAAAAGTCGCGTGTTAAATGAAATCGATGAATCGCAAATAAAAATTATATTTATTTATTTAACGAGATATATATATATGTATGGATAAATAAAAACAAAAATTGAGGCGTGTTTGATATCTTCCAATAATCTAATTAAATTTAGAGCATGTTCAACATTCTAAATGAATCATTATTACGAATTCCGACAAGCTATGAGACGTAATAAGGTTCGTCCTCGTTCATTCTATTTGACATTTTTTTTATATTTATTTATCCAATAGTGTGTATATTACAAATAAAGCATTAACCAGTACATCACATCTGAGAAATAAACCGAACATTTCTCTGTATACATATCTGTATTTAATAAATCATAATCAGCACACGCGACAACATTCGTATCAGCATGATTTCTAACGACCGGCTGCAGCCTGATAGTGCTTCAATGATCATTGCAAATTACGATTTGGCGAGAAATTACAAACGGCGCCAATAATTCACAGATTCCCGGGAAAAACCTCACGAAATGAGCCACATCAGCGGAAAACTGCGTTACAATTCGTAGGTCAAATCGAATTTTGGTGGATCTACCGACAGGAATATTGTTGCGCGTTATATGTATGCAGCGAGCAATAGTAGAACATATCGCTCTGTAATTTCGTATAAGTGCGAGTCAATTTACGCACGAGTGACATATGCCATTTGCTTGTACGTATCGGACTTCTTAAGCTAGGGCCTTAAATCTTAAATATACCTTTAAAAATCTCGTGGAAACAATATTGCGTATATACAGAATATCAGCAACGAGCCTTGCTTTTCACAGACGTAAGGTGGGAACAAACATAATGTTTTTATACACGTGTAAAATGTGGAACATGCACAAAGAAACGATCGCTGTATCCCATCCTTAATTGCTACTTTTCACTTTTATTTATTTATTATTATTAATTTTTTTTTTTTTCATAAACAACCATGTTACGTTCATGGCCTGCGAGAATTTCGATACACCAAACGGCGTAAAAAAAGAACAAAGGGGAGATCGATTTCATTCGTCAAGCTTCAATACTATTTGATTTTCATCCACATACAGATTCTCGGTTTAATTAGCAATTAATTGTCCCTCTCTAGGCTTTACGCCTGTGTAACGTAAACATTCATGTGCGCCAATATCTGCAATTGTAGAAGTGCTACTGTGCAAAGTAACTCGAATTGGCATCGTTACCCGCTAGTTAGAAATCACAGAGAAGAAAACGACAGTAATTTTCCTGTCTGATATCCTTTTAGAACTAATGCAGCAATAACGTGCAATCAAATGAATTAAAATCGATTGAATGAAATTTGATTCCCAAGCGATTTAAATCGTTCTTTAAATCGACGACGCATATACCCCGACACGAAGTGACGGATTTTAACTTCGCTTGGCAGGTAGACATTTCAAATATTCTGTACAGAATTTGCGCATGTAAAACGACCGAGTGTCGATAAGGTGAACGATCGCGCGTTGACATGTACTTCGTCACTTATGATCGTAACGATGGATTAAATGCTATTTCTTACGATAAGTATATTAGATGTACGTTCCACCTTATGAGCATCAGTGAGGAAAAGAACATGTTCGGTGTCAAAATTCTGTGGGTCACGAAACCGAGGAAGTTCGAGGAAATTAGGTCTTCGATAATCGTTGTTCGCGTTGCAAATGCATCACATGAAGCGCATTTTGGTCTAACGCTTGAGTTTCTCTCTCTCTCTCTCACTCTCTTTTTTCTCTTTTACCTTCGCAACATTTCACGATAATACTCCAGGGGAATGAAATTAATAAACTTAAGTCTTATTTACATGGAAATGTTACCGGAATATTTATATATTACATTACCGTAACGTGATATTCTATAGTCTTTTTTTGTATATATATATATGTATAATACTTACTATTTACCGTTTGTTCTCGATAAATAATATCGTAACATTATTATACTTTGCTATAGTATGCGAGATTCTACAGTGACAACTCTGTGTTTCACCCTTGATTTTTATGTCTCGTATATCTATTGTATAACAAGATCTATACAGCTTATGTTAGAAACAACAGGTATGTCGGAAACTAAAGGGCTTTATACCAAGCACTAATGTTTTAACGTTTGAATTGAAAAACACTCTACGGTGAGAAAGTTAAAAATTGCTAGAGACAAAGCGTAGAAGTTTGCTGAAATCCAGAAAATGAGAGATACGTCCAAGGCAAGGTACGCTCTATCCATGACATTTTCGTTTGAAAACAGAGCTGCCACTACCAATAAATTTCTCTTCAAGCACGATTGAGATTCATCTCTAACAACGTTTTAATGCTGCGTTTATCTTTTAAACGAATAACAAATTAACTAGATCTGACCGCCCACTTTAACAGCAACCCGAACCGTTGTGATAACAGTAGAACTATGGAACGCATTTTTATTTAGTCCGATCTGAGATCGCCAACTCCTAATACTCGAGCCAGAAGACTGACTTACTATTTCCTATTACAAATAAACAACTTCTCGCCCAATGAGCCGCAAGTTGTTTATATTGCATACCGTCGCATTCACATCGATTGTCTCGATCGTGGTTAACACTTCCTTAAATTTAACAAGACAGCCCTCCAATTTAATGAAAAACATTATCCAATCCAGAATACGAACTAGTTACCAGAAATGACATCAAAAGATCAAAGGCGCGATATAGCGATTAGTTAATGAAATAAGAGTTAACTGTTACAGAAGAAATAGTGAAAAAATAACCAGCGAGACCCTAACAAGATCTTCCTAGAAAACATTGAACACTTCCTTATGCACTAGAAGATTTCTCAAGATATATTTCTTGCACTGTGTCTATCTATTTGGGTCGATTTGCTTGTGCCTCTAATTTCAAAAGCTCAATCAGCTGTCTGTCTGTTTTGTCGGAACGACTGTACGTAGGTTTCTCTTAAGATGCTTTAAACAGCTAGTCTGATTTGCATTGTACTATCCTTTGTCGCTGTAACTTTTGCCAACATAAGAACGTATAATTTCACACACTTCTATAAGTACTTTTAAATATATATATTCATATATGTGAAAAAAATGATTGTGTTCGGTGGTGTGTTTGTTTTTTCATTTTAATTTTAAAACTGCGCTACGAACTACCACCTAATTACCTAATCCTTTAATCAACGTCCGTCCGTCTCGGTTTTCATATTGATAGCATATAATTAATGACTATTGTTCATTGCATATTTTTCCTTCTACTCAACGAAGCAACGTATCCGACAAAAGTCCATTGTACAGACTGATATAAAGAAACAACATTCTAAAGCCTACCTACGTCTTTTTGTCAACCTTTCATGCATTAATTCAAGTCCTTTTCAAACGTTGATCAAGAAAAAGGCGCAGTTTACCGTACGATGCAAAATAATTTTGGTGTTAGCCTTTTTCACTACTAACATTGTCAATGTGGTAGAATGTTGACTTCGTTAAAAAGTAGAAACATGGGAATGCAATGTCGCTGATAAAGCGATAACTCCGCTTTTAATATCGATTGAATGCATAAAAGAATTTAATTAGATTACTCTATTTTTAGTCAACAAAGCCATTAGGTTCCTAGGCCGTAGTTAGTTGGCTCAAATGTCTTTCAACTCAATCCACATTTAACATAGCAATATAGAAATTAAATAAATCATCACAAATGCCACATCAAATATTACAGGTCTACCTTAAACAACGGAATTGTTAACATTTTGTCTTAACAGACATTAAAATAATTTTCTCCTTCAGTATTTATTTGAGATTATTACCGAACTGCTATAACAATAATTTTACCCTTTTCTGCCCAATTTGATAATTGAGTCCGTACTGGTTCAAGTACTGAATAATCGAATAAAATAAACAGCGATACATCTGAAATTAATTACTAGGATAATTGTGTTAATCAATGGAGTCAATGAATGGGTCGACAGACCTCGTTAAGGTATGTCGAATCCAGCAAGGAACGTGATTGATCTACTCCTATTTCAATTAAACTACTCTGTAAATGTTAATACATTGCTAAGTAGCAAATATTGCTTAGAAATTTACCGGCCGTAAAATACAACTAGTGGAATATTGGCAATAAAAGAAGGAAAGAGATAGTTACTTTTAACGATCTGATATTTATCAGAAGAAAAGACAAGTGCAATTGATTCAAATTAAATATATATATGTACACTATGCTAAATGTATCACTATTGTACTTATGGTTTCTTTGATTTTTAATTGAACGATATTAAGCCCATTTAAAATCTATTACCCCTATATCCCTAGAATCTAGTTGCTCAGCAACCCAAATATAAATAGCGATTTGTTTACTGATTACTGCAAATTAGTATAATATCGGTATAAGTATTATCGAATAGAATTTCCAATCAGTACCTATTAATTGAAAATCTCTGAAAGAAAAAACTATGTATAGACTCTCGAATGTCTCCTTTATCTCTTTTAGGAGGCCAACTAGAATAATCGGCAGTACCCGATTATGCTTAATCTTCCTCGGATTATAACAAATTGACGATACTTCAACGCAAGCGGACAGACCAATCAGCGCATTTTGGCACCACGTACCTCTATACTTTATGCTCCATTTTGGCTTTTCCAGACATTATTTCCAGGAACGTAAGAGTATAGAATTTGTAATATCCTTTCAAAATTATGTATAAAAATATCTCCTATTATAACTATCGTAAAACGCGGAATGGACATAAATATACTCCTTATATACGCTTTTGGGAACAATTGGGAACAATATTATGTTTGTGAACCATATATTTGCATAAAGGCATGAAGTGCTTTTCTTGAACGTCGCGGTGTCATCGTTACGTATAGTGTAGCAAAATAATGTCTGGAGGATACGTCTGTTGAGTTATTATTTCACTTTGTCTGCTCAAAAAGCACCCATCGAGTTAAAACTGAAACTTATTTTTTTCTTCATTAAACAAAAAAAAATATATGAATTCGAATACTGTCAAGATATACAGATTACAATTCTTTTTTCGTGTAAATGAATAACAAATTTATGTAATAAGTATGTATAACGAATACATAAATTAAGGTGTATAATTTAAAAACAAATACGATAGGTATTTACGTTTTTGAGTAGAGAAAATAGACGTCCATATAATGGATTTTGATGCGAGGTGTGTTCTAGAGGTACGTGATGGCAGGCATTTGTAAGTGGATGCACTTACAAATTAATGTTAATATGCTGATTTGACTGGCCGGTTGCGTTGATTACGGTTCATTTTCTCAAACTATCTTTACTACTTGCTCGGCTGGTGGAAGCTGTGCTAGATTCACCTGGCCCACCAGCACCTCCTGCATCACCGTTAATACTGGATCCAGCCAACGAAGCTGTTGGAGTGACAGGAGCAGAACGACGTCTGACTTTCGTCAAAGCTTTATCCAAACGTTGAATAAATGCATCAACATCTGACCTCTTCATGCCTAAAGCAGCAGCTGCTGTTAAATATGGCACCGGGTAGTTACTATTATGTGCTCCCCAACCTATAACATATTTTTCAATTTGATTATTATTATAAAATTGAATGTTAATCATTATGACTAGAATTAAAATCAATATTGACCTTCGAACTTGTGTGAAACAATGTGTTTAGAGTCGGTCGTTGTTATAACTCTGGTACCGCTGACGTTTCTGAGAAACAGTGTCGAGCCAAGCAACGTAACTTGTTTGTTATCGTGCTGATGACTGAGACATTGTAATGTCATCCCCATTGATATGGGATTGCCTTTTGTATCTAGCAATCTTTCTCCATGCCTGGATGCCAATTTTCCTAATTCCTCTTTCAGATAAGAATACATTTCCTTGCGCTGTGCGATCAACTGTTTGTATCCTGCCATTCCGAGACTTAACAATGTTATCATAACATCCATTGTTGAGCTTGCGTTGGCTCGTCCAGGATACATTTTAGAAATACGGTCCAACAGACTTTTATCAAAAGAACCGATCACAGCACCACCCACGGGAACAAGAAAGTTTTTGTCGGTGCTCTGAACAAAGGCATCGACACGACCTTTTCTCGATGCTTCTTGTATAAGATGCATGCAACGAGTACTCTGTAACCTAAAATAACGAAATTAAAAATTGCACTAGGATCATAATAAAATTGTACATAGCAATCTACTTTTTATAATAGAAACTATCTCCTCTCATTAAAAAATATTAACGTTTAAACTAATTCTTACCCATATGCATTGTTAACTAAATGTGGTATATTATACTGAGTGCAAAGTGCTGCGATCAGATCAACCGAATCACAGGCTCTTGGTGCGAAACAGCTTGTGGTTGTGAGAACACAGGCCACGCTTTCACCTAAAGCCGCCATCTGAGCTTCCAACCTCTGTAGATCGGTTTTTAATTCATCGCCTATGATTTGCATTTCGATCACTACAGGTTCTAATCCTGCTGTAATAATTGATTTAAAACTGGATTTTTGGTCGATTCTAGGCCACAAGACATATTGTGCTCTCGGTCTGTCTTGCTTTAATGTCAGCATGCACAGAACCAGACTCATGCCTGTTGCCATCGGAGATAGGAAACAACCTGCTATGCTTTTAACTCCTAAAACACGGGTTATTTTGTAAAGTTCGTTTTTGTCTATCCACTCAACAGTCTAATTTAAAAATATTCATACCCATGTAACGAATGACCTCCAACACAAGTGCATTTGTTAATTTGTACATTAAACTACTCCCAGCAGCCTTAGGTTGTACTTCCTCTAAATCGCCAGACCTGCCAATTCCATGGCCCATGCGAAAGTGACGTCGTGCTACTATATTTGATATTATTCTAGCCTCCCGCTCACCCACGCTGCAATTTGCAGGAAAATTGTTGCTGTCCATTTGTGCGAGGTCTGTCAAGAATGCCTCTATTGTAGCATCGTCCCATCCTTCTTCTGGCCATTTTCGCTGGTTGGAATAAAACGTTAAAGCTTAAATATGTTTATTATATGTCATTAACATCACATTATTTATCAATTGTTTCCACTCACATGTTCGATAAAATGTCGTATAAGATTCTCGCGAGTTTTCTTTGCATTCCATCCTTGCTGAACGTAAGTTGGTGGTATCAGCCGTTCTGCTAAATTAAATGCTTGGCTGTTCATCTTCTCGTCTTGCCAAGTCTCTCAAATACGAACTTGACAGAAGTACCGTGATCCAACGTCTTAGCACACCATCGCTTTACCAAATGTCTTTGAATTACTTTATGTTTTAAGAATAAAAAATAGGCTCATATTAACTGGAGTAAAATAAACATCAGGATATTACAGACGTAATAATGGAGCTTAACGAGGCCATGTCATACATTCTATGTTAGTAAATTATATTTATGTAGAAAAAGTTAAACATGTAACTTATCATAAATTCTAAAAATATATAATACACGTTTCTTAACGGAGTTAAATCAAATGAAACACACAGTAATTAACGAATAAACAAAATTTATTCAAATAAATCAATAACAAGAATACATAAGACGTCTTTAAATTATACTGTCAAATATAACACAAATATAACTAATATAATATAATATAAAAATATAAACATGAACATGCAAATATTACATTGATTACGAATACGTAAAGTGTATTTACTAGACACGTATGAAACATGGAATGCATATAGGTTAACATATACATAATAGATTATAGATTTAAATGCTTATATGTAATTAAGGAAATATAAACTTGTCATAGGCTTCAAGAGAGATATCTATGACCAAAATTCTTCAAGTTAAAATACCGTGAGCATTTGATATCTCAAATTTGGCATTATTAATATAAATGTAAAATTGTTCTATGCAATATTCAATGTTTATAACCTCTGAAATCTAGTAGATGACTGGATTAAATAAACAGCTATTAATATAAACATCATTAAGATTACATCTTACCTAGATTCATTATCAGTTAATGAATTTTGATAGGATAAATAATCCTCTCGAGTTCACTAACAAATTCATACCCTGGATTAAAACAAATTAAATAACAACATATAGGTTATCTCAACGAGATATGCAAACGAGAAATCCTAGTTCTTAAGCTTATCTCACGTAATTTACAACTCTTGCTCGAATAACATGCTTTTCAAACTACTTACTCATTTAACGGACATAATTCAAAGTATGCATCCTATTTTCAATCAATCTTGCATGGACTGGTGCAATATCAACCCTTAATTAATTATTCATCCGATGTTCATGAAACATTATGCAGTCTATCTTTTACAAATTTCGGGAAAAAATCCTCGAGCCACGAAGCCCAGATAAAACCAGTCTTCAATCTCAGCATCCACTAGATTCGCAGAATATATTCCAAAGATTTCGAAGCAATAACCCGTAAAACGGAACACCTGAAGCGGATTCAATGGATGTTTGTATACCGTGGGAGTATTAGCCAGGGCGTGTAAAAAAAGCAATTCCCGGCAGGTCCGGCGGAAAGTAGGTTCGAGCGGAGTTAAGAATCCAAGGCGAATCTCGGGGAAGGGTTCGCTCGGCCGGCCATCGCCTTCGGGAGACTCTCTCTCGGAGATTACGAGCCGAAGTCGCGGTGTCACAGTTCGTCGAAGAGGTTAGATTCGCGGGGCAGAGGAGAGGGAGACGGGACGGTTCGGGTTCGGCGGCGCGGCTGGCCGGGGCCGTTACGGGGGCTGACGGGGGTACGCCAGTTTGGAGGTTATGTCGGCCCGAGGTCACCTAAATCGGATTAATTTTACGCAATACGGGCGATGCAACGTAATTGCTCGGTCGGTGGGTTTAGCGTCGGCGAGTGCCGATCTTTAACGGGCGCAGGATGAGTGCCGCGGACGCGTGCAGGCTCGCGCGACTCGCGAAAGTCGGGCTTTTACCTCGGATTTTGACGTGCGGCCAACGACGGGCGGACGGACCACGAACGGCGCTACAAACGAACGCCTCCGCCGGCTTCACGGCTCTTAGCGCCCCGCGTGCTGCCCGTACCACGACTACACGGAAGGTGCAATATTTATCCACAAGCCGAAACCCGATTCCTTCCCCGTGCGGTTCCGCGCTGCCACCGTGCCCAGAGCGGTGGCCAGCTGCGCGCGAGTGATGCGACTGCACCTGCCGTGCGAGTTCTGGCGCAAGGTGGGACGTAACGCGCCCTCCGACCTTCTCGATCCCCAGTGTCCGTCCATTTACCCAGGTCGTCCGCTTTTCGCCTGACCTCCCGCGCCTGGAAATATTTCCGGAAATATTTCGACTAGCGTCGTTCCTCTCAGCGGAGGTGGCGCGGTTCGGCCTGGGTGTTTACATAATTTTCCGTAAGCGCCTTCTTATCGGACCTCCACGAGGCGCGACGAAAAGTGGAGCGCCCGATTACGAGTGGAATTTTTAGAAACTCCTCGCATGACTCCAAGGCTCTCCTCGAGAGTAATTCGCGTTGATATTCCCGAACCTGGGCATCGTTTCTCGAGATTTTTTTTTTATCACCGCGGGTGACTGCTTTAATCGACACCTAGCGTATCTCTTTCGACGGTTTTTAATCGAAGAACTCTCCTCGATTAAGGGGCAAGGAGAGTCGGCGCAGCGAAAGGTTAACCATTCGATTAACCTTGGCAATGATTTGAAACGGTTCACGTATCTCATGCGAGTCGAGCGAAGTTCGAATGCCGAGGGCAGTTCGCGCCACTTTCGAACTCCACTCAATTAACACCTGTTTAATTAATTTACGAACACATCCTGATAAACTCTACCCCCTTAGTCGATTTAATTTCACTCTTTATTCTAACAAGATACTCGTTCCCTACTTAATACCATCCAAGTAAATCAGAAACTCGTAATCCGAATCGAATTGGCGGGCTTTATATTCATGAGTTGATGCGCGTGCGCGTCGCCATAATGCGTGCAATCGATGCTAACGAAGCGAGTTCACGTGCAAGGTTGCGCAACCTACTTCACGCGGGGTGAAGTGGGCTAACATCCTCCATCTCGCAATGGTTCGTTCTCGTCGTTTACAGTACTTCGTACGAAAAGAGAAAAGTAAAAGTACTATACCATTTGGCAAAATGTTCTTTACAAACGCCATGTCCAGATATACATTTTCCCACGGAGGAATCCAATCGAATTCGATTGTCAGCCTCAATGTGCGTATATGGTGATTTGAATTTTCGCGCGCACTAGTAACAAGCTACGCGCGTCCCGCGTAGTCCGCGTCGCCACCGCTAGAGCGCGGAGCGCGCGCCGCCCGCAATGCCGGTGCGCGAGGCGGCCGCCACGCGCGTGTCACTGTTCGCGTCGGTCGGCGTCGTTCAGTGCCGTTCAGTGCCGTTCGGTGCATCGATGACAGATTTCGGGTTTGTAGGTTACGTCGCGACGAAGTCGGGGGAGTTTTATCAGGCCGCGGGGGCGACTTATCAAAAACCTTGTCATCAGGCGCCGTCAAACGCCAGTATTGGGTTTCATGCAGACGCGCAGTCCGCTTTCTACGGTTAATCGAACCGATCGTGACATGTAAAGGATCGAAGGTGTGTCCGACTCGATTGCGGTTTATCGCGAGTTCTTATTACGAAAACGGACCGAGAACGATCCTCGGAACTGGAGCGACAATCTGGCGTCGGCCACTAGGTGTTGGAGCATCTACGAGGTAGAGCAGCAACTTTTATCGGTGCGTGATAAGAGCAGTATTGCTTTCGGGTCGTCGGCCCTTTCCACTGTTGTCAGATTTCGACTCCGGAATCGTCCTCTTGGGTTTCCACTCGACTTTACGGCGCCTTTTAACAAGCTATCTTTCTTCCGATAACGGCCTCGTCGCGATTGCCCGCTTTATCGTCCTGTCACGCTGCATCGCCCTTTCGGCGAGATCGCTACTTCATTTCTGACATTTCACGAGCGCATGTTCTTGGGGCAGGTTGCGGGTTTCCCTCTACTAGACGGTTTCAAAACTTGACAAGTCCACTCGCTACTGTTTAGGGTGATTTCTGCTTTCATTGACGTTCTAAAACACGTAAAAATTGAGATACGATTACCCGTATGTTACCCTCTAATGCTTTCCGGTGGCGTTTATTTCAGCGATAAGAAACGTTTTCAAAACAATCGAAGCGGTGAATTAAACAGGGTATTACTCGTTTTTGCCGTCACCACGATGTTTTTTATTTACAAAGTGACTCATAATTCTAACTCCGCCTCGCTGCGAACAAATCCATCCTGCACTAACTGCAAATAATTAACGTTCTTATCAGTGCGCATCGCTCTGAAAGTGGAATGGTTTTTCTTAATAATTTCAATCTATCCATATTTTAACATTTTCTATTATTTATTCTTTTTCGAGTAGGAGAAAAGGATTTTTCGTAAAAATAGCAAGCCTAGTGCAGATTTCTCTCCATCGCGACCTAACTCTAATTGCTCTTGGAGTTAAATAATTAATAATAAATGCTTGCGAACACTTAATTGTAGGCCGATAAAGAGCAGATAACGTTTACTTGGAAAACTACTTTGTACTGTATCCGGGAGAACTTTAACTCAAAATGCATATCGGTGCCATGAATCGTTTAGGCTAATGTCGGATAGGTGTAATGCAGCCTGGGGGCTAATGATCTAATTGAATATTTTCCGTTGCAGTTTATTATGGATGCGGAGAATTGCAACTCCCATGGAGCTCAAGGCGCATCTTCACCGACCACGCCGATGCACGATGGGGATTCTAATGCACATAGGAAGTGGTATCGACAAGCAAGCCAAAGGTCAGTGCTCGCTTTTAGATCAAAGCTTTTCATCGACATAGGGACAGATAGATGGGCAAGCACGTTAGAGTAACCAAATCGTTTATTACACTCAAGGCGTTCATAAAAGAAGGTTTATTCGACGATAAAAATCGCGTTAATCGGATGGGATCGTTTTCATGATTTTCTTCATTTTAGAGATTTCATGCCATGGCCGTGAGAAATTCCCAGCTTCCACTTAATCAGGAATTTTTACATATTCCTCGACACATGGATGTTATCGGTCATTATCATGTCCACGCAGTGTCGAGGTAAAGGTCTAGTGATTTGAGATTTTTTTTTTAATTATATTTCTTATGATACCGATCCACGTTTGGGCGCCGAGATAAAGGACTGAAGATTGGATTTTTTAATTAAATTCTTTATTATATTTATCGGTAGTTGGGAAGGGCGAGTAAGCCCTCCCGTTGATAGTTTTTTACGTCCTGCACGAACGAATAATTTTTTTTTTCTTTTTACGTCCTATTCGATACGGATATGTACACGTCGACCCTTATCGAATGCTATGTAAATTTCACACGCGAGAACACGAGCGAGGGAACCTGCCCACACGTCGTTAGGCGTTCTTCGATCGCGTTCTCGAAAATAGAGAAGTTCGTCTAAAAATACGCCGGTCGCGAATCAACGAGTCGCGCAATCTCGGCAGATGCTCCACTGAATTTACATTCCGGATCTCATCTCTCCCCGTTCATCGGTTTATAGCCTTTCCGTTTAATTCATCACGTTCCCCTCTTCATCCCCTTTGTTGCTCCTCGCTCTTTCTTCTTCTCTTCTTTAACGAATTACAAAGATTCCAAAGGCCTCCGTTATTAGATACATTCATCTCCTATCTAGGATTTTGTAAATCCTGGCCTAACAATCAAAGGAAATAAAAAATGTGGATATGTCGCTTAGCTTGTCGGTTTACAGGAAGTTGCGCAATCGTAGGACCATTTGGGACGTGCACCCAAGTAGGATAAACGAGGTGATGGGATACTGTTATTAAATGTTGTATACATTGTCGAACCACGTATGCGATGTCAGGAATCATAATGACGCGGGTACGTCTACTTGTTGAATTTATTTGGGAAGGTTGTTTAGGAAATAATGACCGGCTAAATTTCGATGTCGGCCGAGTTCACTTTTATCGGGAAGGTTTGAATGCCTTGAACCACCCTTGGGATCTGGAAGATACTTCCGAAGTGGCTCTTCGCTTTCGTCATGCAATGACCTCTGTCAATCTGTACGCTCTTATCACCGAGCTGTTTTCGTCGAATTTATTATTCGGGATGCCCGCGGACAGAACGACATGTTTTCAATCGAAGTTCGCCGTCTACGCGGCACGGTCGTCTTATTTGGTCCCGTTGACGAACCTCGGATTTCTATCTCTTAGTCGAAGTAAAAGTGTATAATGAGTCATAAGAAGCTGGACGTCGTAGTTACCGCTCCACCTGGCGAAGGTAAATCTCTTCGATATCTCCCTAGATATCAGTTTCGGACGATTTCGACCTATCAAGTAAGGCTTGGTTTACCCCGACCATTTGGCACGCGGACTAAAGACTTACGTATAACCCAAGTAGAAATTTTTATCCCTAGTTTGAATCTACCTACTCTAATTAAGCTCTTCGTTGCTCCTATTTCACTCTTTGAATCTTACCTTGGAAATTTGCTACGCCCTTAATGGGAATTAATTTCTACTTTGGGCCTACAAGTAGAACCTCCACTGTTAAGGCGTAAAGCAGAATCTCAATTTTATATAACTTACCCTT